GTTTTGTCCACATCAGTCAGGTGGAAAACTTCCTGGTAAAAGAAGAAAAAAGTCACTTTCATGAAGTTAAATCAGTCATCAGATTTATTTGAATTTCACTTCATCCGTTTTACCTTATATTTCATGACTTTGTTCCACAGACGCACAAACTCTTCACTGTTCAGTTTTCCTGTAACGGATGACTTCAAAATACACCGTTAAGAAAGTAACTGCAGATGTTTAGAGATGCCTATGTTTCATATAAACAAAATAATTTGTCATCATGCACATGATTTAGTTATTATATGAGCAAAAGAAAGCTCTGAGCTTTCTGGATCTTTTCAGGAGCTCCTGTACGGTCAGTCGTGATGTTTTTATCTGCTGAATGTGAGTTGTTGTGAAACGTCAAAAGGATACGTCCATCAGAGCCACCATGCTGCGGCACGCATCAATACTGAATCCTCCGGACTTTAAATCCCCTGACAGCAAAGACACGTGTCAATATTTACAGCAGTCTTAAACAGAATCAAGCTCGCTGTGTGGGTTTTAGATATTTAATATTTATAAGTCAAACCTTTTAAGATGGTTTCATTCAGGAGCTTCTGCAGCTGCTCAGCGTCCACTTCTTCATACTGAAAATTGAGCAGTTTAATTAAAACAAGTAGTATCTTTCATTTGAAAATTTGTCACAAAATATAGTGAATTTGTTTAGTTTACTATACTCTGACTGATTTAGAACATGTGTGAAGAAAGCTTCTGTTTACCTGATAAACAGAAATGTTCCCAAAATCTGTTAATTTAACATTTATAGTTCTTGTGTCAAATATTTGAAACAAGCAAAACATCTCTCATTTGAGTAATAATTCTGATATTTATTGTATTACAAAGTGAACTTTTACTGATTTTAAAAGGACATTGCAAAAAAAGATATTTTCATCTAAATATCACTAATTATGATTTACAGATACATGCAACTCCTAGCATACAGTTGTTTCTTTTTTGTTGTTGTTGTTTTACTGGATCAAAACAACTGAATAAGTTCTTGACCAGACTACTACTATGCAAATATTATAAAATCCAGTTACAAACACGTTTACTATAAATATATCAGTTATAAGAAAATGTAAAACTAAACTTTTTTTTTTTTTTTTTTTACATTTAGGTGAAGTCTGGAAGAACATTAGCACATAACAGTAATGAGAAAAACACAAAACCCCTTGAATTGTGCTAATTTTTGACAGCTTGACAACAGCTAACGATTTCATTCATATTTTATGGTTGAGTGATTGACAAGTGTAAAGCCACGCCCCCTTTCTTTGTTAAGATGGAAGCCTTCAGCTAATGTGAGGGATGTAAAGTAACATCACTTTTGCACTTGTTTAGTTGGAATAACGGCAAGCAATAGTACGGAAGAGGATTAGGGCTACAGTGCATTTTCATTTATTTATTTTGTTTCCATATTTCTGAGAAAAAACAATCAAAATTGAGGAACATAATAATTTTGCACTGTGGCCCTAATTGTCTTATGTATTTTAGCATACGCTTGGTGATTTTTTATTTTTATTTTATTTATTTATTTATTTATTTATTGCCAATGTTTCTTTTGAGGAAGCCTGGAAGTTGAGGACGCTGAGTTTTTATATTTTCTGGATTTTTTTTTTAAGTATGAAAATCTCCAAATACATCAGCTTTAGATTTTTTGTTGCTGTCTGATACAGAATTTGTATTTTTTCACTCAACAGAACAAAGAAATATTAGCTGTTTTAATGTAGCAAACTCCTTTTGATCTAACAAATGATGACATATTGATTGAGACAAACATGCAGATAAATACTTTAACCACCCGGGGAAATTCTAATGTCTCAAAACTCAAATTCAGAAAAACAAAATCTTCTTAACTCGTGATCATAAATAAATAATGGTGAAAATTTAGGGTGAAATCATCCACATTTAACCATATACTTTATTCTTAACTCTAATTAGTGCTGTTATGACTCTAAGTCAGAACATTCACATTTTTATTGAGATTCAAGCATAAATGAAATTACCTTGTCTGAGTACTGGCGGAAAAATGCCTTTTTATTTTCATTGTCATTCTTGTTTTTAGGTTTCTTGATCTGTAAAATATGAGTTTAGTTACTTACAGCAAGAGAAAAATCACAATAACAGAATTTATCTGAAAACCTTTTCAGTTGACTCCTGCAGGTTGTAACCAGAATTTTCACTGTAAAGAAAAAACAACAACATCCACACAGGATTAATGTCTTTATATAACCTCTTTTGTGTATTTAACATTCTGAGTATTGAATCTGTGATTTCATGTGAACCTACTAGCAGTGAGTGTCATCCTTGGAGAGGATGGTGAGGATGAAGGAGGCCGACTCATTTGGCTGATACGTTGACGGGATAATAACGTACTCTCCTGGTTTCAGCATCAGGAACTCCATCACCTCTCGTGTGTTCATGTAGGTTTTAGTCTGAGCGACGAGCTTCTGGGAGCTGAAGAACGAGGCGGGGAACTTCCCGCTCTGTGTTTTGTCCTGCAGGAACATACTTCAGGTTTAGAACATCTTTACAAGAGATGCTACAGGTTTTAGAACTAGATAAAGAACTTTAATGAAATTGTTTCTTACTTGTTCAGTGACCTTGAGAGAAATTGTGGAAGGAAAACAAAAAGAAACCAGATTCAGTCAAAATTGAGAATTAGACGAAAATAACAACAAACAAGTGAACAGTCACTGTAAACAAACAAAAACTACAGATTTAAACCTGCATCTAATCCAGCTATTACCAGATTAATTTAATTTTACTCAGGTTAAAATATATTGTCTGTTTTTAAGCAGTCTGAACTAAAATCTAAGGATATAAAAACAAATACATAATGCACATAAAACAATAGTGTTACATGGTTTTTTCTTGTTTTATGCAGTAATTATTTGTGTTTGCATGGAAGTATGAATTCTCATAGTCTAAAACTGTTTCACTTTTTGCTTCTCACTGAGTGTGACATGATCAGTTAAGTTTCCTGCATAAGATATAGAAAATAAAGTGTTTCACCTCAAATATAGCTACGCCAATGTAGAGGTTTTGCACCAGACGTCGGTTCCATTTGTCGGGCTTTTGCATGAGAGACACCAGGATGTTTGTCACATCGCTTTTCTCTGAATATTTCCCACAAACTTTGATGCGATACTGTGGATTTGTCCAGAAACTGCCTGGAAAAACAAAGTGAGACAAACTTGATGAATTTCATAAATCATTTATGTCTCACTGATTTTTATTTTTTTTTTTTGGGGGGGGGGGAGACAATTCATCAATAATAAATAAATAAACAAGGGAAACTGTGCAAACTGCATATAGAGCAATTATTTACAACTAATTCTGACTAAATCCACTTCCTAATTTCGTCTGAATTATAGTCTAGAAATAATATTTATAGCTTTCTGATTTAGAAAACTATATAAAATTCAGTCTGAGTTATATTTTAGTTTGTTCTGTGTTTAACGTTTTGTCAGACAGCCATTCAGTCATCTAACATTGGTTGGTGTGCCTTTATTTAATAAAAACAAGAAATACACAAGAAAGGACAATGAAACTTTACACGAGACTTGTAAAATGATATAAATACCAGTGTTCCCAATGCAGCCTCCAGCTGTGGTTCCTGCAACCCACCGTCCTTCATACATGGAGGTCTTCCACTGACTTGATGGGTTTCCATCAATGAAGTCTGGACTCAGGCCACAGATGTCAATATCGACAAAACACTTGCAGAGGTCTTCTATGGTCATCCTAACCAAAGGTAAGATGTGTAAATGTTGTTTTATTAGTAATACTTGTAATTTTTTACCATCTGACTAAATCTACGTACCAAAACTCTCCATCATCAGACAATGAACGGAACTTTTCACGATCAGAAGGACTCACAGTTTGCCACAACGAGGATCTACCGAACAAAGATATGTATTTATTATAAACTTTAAAAAGATAACTGTACCATGTTTTGGTGCATATGGATAGAGTAATTTAAATGTAGTAAATTTAGAATTCTAAAATGATCTCTGAGCCGTGTCTTTGTAAATCCAACACTGTAAATACCGATCACTCCAGTCTCCGTTCCATTCAGTTTTGCCCCAGGGGTTCCACAGACGCACCAGGTTCACAAGCTTTCCTTGGCTCATAATCTGATCAGAATCATTAACAGAAAAATAATAATTTAAATGCTGATTGCATGTTCTGAAACTACAAAGTTGTCCAAAATTTTTTACAGTTCATGTGTAAATACTGGAAGACATTTGTCGCTGTAGTTCTTCCTCTAGAACAACATTTAGAGCTCCAAGCTGGGTTGAGAATCACATAAACAACAAATATATTAAATATGTCATAGTGTGTCCTTGTCTGTTTTCTTTTTGTTTATCTTGTCTTTAGTTCCTTTCCTGATCCTTCTTTTGGACTCTGTTTCTAGTGTGTGTCTCCCTCTTGTGGTCTGTCCCTGCTATTGCTCCCTCATGTAATTAGCTTCTGCCACCACCTGTTGTCTCTCCCAGCTGTTTGTCATTTGTCTGTCGTTAGTGTGTGTATATATAAATCTGGGTCTCCTGTTCCGTTTTTATCTGGGTGTTGTCTCATGAATGCTCCTCTATTCTGCACCATGTTCTGGTTTTATCTCTTAGATTCTTCTAATAGTTCATGTGAACTGTTGCCACCACATCAGCCCTTTTGTTTATTTTCAATAGCTTTATCCTGAGGTCTCCTAGTCCTCCCTGTAATTTGGATTTAAACCACCAGATCTTTACAAAGTATCCCAGAATATTACATTATTGACTTATTATTGTAGTGTTCTGCCTTAAACCTTAATATTATTAACTTATTCAACATATATGTTAAGAAACAACAGTGACCTGCTTAATCCACACGGAGCTGTGACTCGTCATCACAAGCCTTTGCAAGCATTTCCAGAATGTCTGTAAATATTAAGAGTCTTCAGTTTCCTCACAACAGTTGCAGGACCTCATTCTCGTGTTGCAAAATCGTCACAAAGTTGTTGCCGTTGTCTGTATTCTGTTTTTCACTCTTCGAAAGTTGAGGTAATCATCTCACTGGGCTGTGACTTCTGGCAACTACAGTATTTGGTGAACATCATTCGAGGAAGAGTTTCCAAAATGTTTCAAATAATTTGCCTGAGGCTCGTTTAAATTTTGAACATGTCCAACATTCTTGTTCCCCTGAACATGGTCACAGTGTCATTGCAGGCATCTCAAATTCAATTTGATTTATTAGTTTCCGTAATCCTAAAGCTGTTCTTGGACACCTCCACAGGAGAGCTAATAGGAAACACCTGAGGCTACTTCTCAAATGTCCAGGTCTACATATGCAATGGATAAAGATTTAAAAACTGATCCAAAATGTCCTGTTTATATTTCAAAAGTGTACTCCAGTAGATTAAATTATAAATGTAGGGGAAGCTCCCAAGATGGGTACAAAACGGTATGATGTGAACAATAAAATATGTGCACGTCCTGCAAAAATAAAGTATGATTTTCAAGATCTGGCTGTTCAGAATGTGGCTACACGACTTGCTGATCTCTTGTCACAAACATTGCAAATTTGGTGAAACTCCAACAGGACATTTGCTCATTTTCTCACAATTTTGAGTCAACAACAGTCGCAGTCCAGAGACATACTGGCTTTAAGGTAGTTTCTCACTGGTCTACAACGGTTGATGAATACCTGGAAACTGAAACAATCCAAAACAGATCTCGCTTGTAAATGAGTCTTTGAGGCTCAATGTGATTTATCTGTCTAAATAAAGGTTGAACGAATGAAAAAAAAAAACCTTCTGTTTTAAAGCAGTAATATTAGAGTTAGCTCAGAGTTAATCACCTGTTTTAAACCTGTCACAGTGTATGCATGTCCTGGAACCAGTCCGTTTGGTAACACTTTGTCGTCAGTTTTCTCCTGAAAGTCAAAGACATTTACCATGTTTAAAAGTACAGCTGGTGATGAGAATAAAAAATGCAGAAACTGTGATGTTAAAGTGTTTTGGAGCTGAACTTTCAAAGATTACTTTATAAGGTATTTCAAACATCTTTTAGTAAATACATCAACTGTAGTTAAATGGATTAAAATGGGGAATTGGAAACATCATCATTAAGAAGCAGAAGCTAAGATAAAATCAAAATGAGATGTTGGTGTTGCTTCCGTGTGGTTTATTTTGCTCACTCTGCTACGTGTACCACAACTCATGAGAGTCTTGGATTTTCCAGCTCTGCACAGCAACTCCCATAGATTTGTAGCTTTGGACAGCTCGATACACATGTAGACGCCACCGGTAAAGTCCCTCATAGCTTCTGCAGGAGTGCCAGCCTTCATGTCCGAGTAGGATCCACACACCCTGTCACACGTTGATTCAATATCATATTTAGCTCCAGGTTAAGATCTAATGTTTGAAAAACATGATACTGTTTTTTTTGTTTTACTAACTTGGCGTAGGCCTTCTCCATCAAAGCAGGCCAGAACTCATTCTTGTCTTTGGAGTGAACAAAAATGAGTTTCCCATTGATAGTTGGCAGCTTGTCGTCAATGATGACGTCCACCCACCGCCCAAATCTCCAGAACTGAAAAGGTAGAAATCAAATATCTGTAAAAATGTGACTATTTTCAAAAAGTTCAGTAATTTTCTGGTCTTTGTCAAAAACAAACGTGTGACAATAAAGTGTTCGTTTAGAGTCTGTGAACAGTTTGACAAAAGCAAAATCTAATTTTCAGCTTGTGTTCAAAACAACAACCAGGCGTGTAGTTAATGATTACCCTGAAATGAAACAGTCCGCAGTAAT